CCCCCCCCCCGAGCACGCGCGTGACAAATACGGACTTTAAATGTGAAGTTTTATAACATCCACACTGGCGAGGTTGATGCGCCCTACGTGTGTATCCAAAGTGTGACTTTTTCTGCCGTGCCGTTCTTGTCGGGGAGGGGTCTGTGTGGGTCAGGGTCGTCTGAGGAGGAAGGAGATGAATGGAGTTGCGCACGGGAACTTTTATTTAAGATTTAAGTTTTTTTATTTCAAAGGTCCTCATGGCTCAGCAGCAGAAACATAAATATTGCTGTTAAGAAAGCTGATGATAAAGTTGAATAAAAATCTAAGTCTGATGAAGGTAAATTAAATCTCTGACAGTGATCATTACACAGTGTGGCTCTAATTCCTCACTTCACCATCTGTGTCACAGCTTCACGTCTCCAAAATGAGCGTACACATGGGTCAAAGCTAGCGTGAGGCACTACACATTTTCACGTCAAGTTTGGATTTTATAAATCACAACCTTGGCGTAAAAAGTGGCATACGCAAGTTTTATAAATCCGACCCCAGGAAAGTACTGCAGAGCTGGCAGCACATTTATGCTCCATACAGAGTACTGTAAAAAATAATTCAGATACAAATTGGCTTTGATTTTTAAGTTTTCGTCACACTTAAACGTTTCAGATCATCCAACTAGTAAATACAAAGTAAAGACAAAATGTAGTATTCAAATAATTATAATTATATTTCTTAGGGACAAAAATCTATCCAAACCAATCTGGCCTGGTGTGAGACAAGTAATTGCCCCCTAACCATAAATAAGGAGTAAAGCAGTGGTCTCCAACTACAGACCATGGGCTGGGTATGGCCCGCCTCCAAATTTGGCCCGTCACCCTGAACAACACCAGAGAGGCATTATGATTTTTTTAGTCTGCCCCTTGAATCCTTGACTATTTTATCGGAGAAAATATCATCAGCACACCTCACACTACAGGCCACATGAGCGCGATGCGCACGGTGCTGAAAAACAGTGCATCTATCCCAAACCAGGCCCAACGCGCACTGTGATGCACATGCATTGTCCTACTTTTGACTCAGTTGCTGTACAAAAAGTAAAACAAAAAACAAACAAAAAAGATCTACAAATATTATTTAGTGGCTGCAGTTTGCAACATTAATGACTCCTTATTTCTGCCTCTGCCTCCTTTGCAGGAGGACGAGAGAAGAGAGAAAGGCATGAAAGCAGAGAAGCAGAGATGCAGTCAGCTGTTAATCGCAATGCACCGCTGCCATTGAGTTAAACATATTATTAAA